CATGTAAAAAATTGTTTTAATGATTTTTGTTACAATTTTGAGTTCCAGATTCTCTCTCCCTCCTAAACCTCTCCCTCTTGGAGAAAGCAAGCAATCTGATGTCGATTATACATTTGAAGCACACAAAATATATTTCACTATTAGCCATGTTGTAAAAGAAAACACAAAGAATATATAACAATAAAAATAGAGAAAATTCAAAAAATGTTTTAATCCGCATTCAGAATTCATCAGTTTTTTCTCTGGAGGTGGATAGCATTTTTTTTTTTTACCATGGGTCCTTTGGAATTGTCTTCATTGTCTTTCACAGTAGCTAAGTCTTTCACAGTTCAGCATGCTTACAATATTGCTGATACTGGGTACACTGTTCTCCTGGCTTTGTTCACTTCACTCTGCATCAATTCACGTAAGTCTTCCAAGGTTTTTCTGAAATCATCCTGCTCATCAATTTCTTATAGCACAATAGTATTCCACAATAGTATTCCACCACAATCATATACCACAACTTATTCAGCGATTCCTCAACTGATAGAGCATCCCCTCAATTTCTAATTCTTTGCCACCACAAAAAGAGCTGCTATAAATACTTTTGTACATCTAGATCTTTTCCTTTTTCATGATCTCTTTGGGATACAGCTGGCATAGTGGGCATGCACAGTTCTATAGACCTTTAGGCATAGTTCCAAATTATTCTCCAAAGTGGTTGGACTAGCTCACAACTCCAACAGTGTATAATGTCCCAATTTTTCTACATCCCCTCCAGCATTTGCCATTTTCCTTTTCTGTCATGTTAGCCAATCTGATGGCATACAACTCTTTAAATGGTTAGATTTCTCAGGGGTCATTTTTTTGGCCAATCTGTTACTCATGAATTGGTCAAATTTGCAGCCCAATGGCTATTTTGTTTATATATTTTGGATTCTGACCTAGACCTGGAAGGAGTTTTAAATATCATGTCCAACACTTTCATCTTACTGATGAAGATACTGTAGACAGTAATAACGACACTGAAGCATAGTGTTCTCCAGGGCAAAATATCATTTTATTAACAGTGATACATATCTTGTTAGTAAAATGTTCTCACTGGCACCTAAGCAAGAAGCCACGGACCTGAGCATGATCAATTTATTAGAGTTATAATAATAAATTAGATCAGTGGTCTCTCTTTAGATAACCAAAGACCTAGAGTGAGGGCCTACAGGGTCTTCTACACCTAAGTGTGTCTTCCTTCTGATTGGCCCATCTGATTGGTACATCCTTTGGATCTCTCCTGGCAAAGACAAGGCAATCCTGATTGATTGACATTTTAATGAGGTGGATGAGAGTTACCTCAGCTCCTCCCAGTTACTTCAAGGTTGGGAGGTGGGAGTGAACCTCAGATTATAGGATTAATATGCAGGGGTGATGGCAGCTGGATTGGCCTTCAGGTGTGGTTGATCATGATCCTCTTGGGCAATTAAGGAATGCTAATTGTTTTTTGAGACCCAGCTACCTCTAGTACATCTTGACCAGAAAAAACATCTCAATCAAGTTTCCCTACTCTACCTTCCCCCACTCCCATCCACCCCCAATCCCCTCCCCATCCCTTCACCTCCCCCTTAGAGACCAAGTCACCCCTAACTTTGAAAAGGAGAAGCCAAGATACTTTCTCTGTTTATAGGGTAAATAGAATAGGGAGTCCCACTTTCAACTGGTTAAAGAGCAGATGTCCCAGGGGCTAGGAGTGATCCTATTCCTTAACCACACCTTAGTTTGGACCAGGAGAGGTCTCTTTGAACTAGACTGAGAGAGGGGTTCTGACAAAATGGGGGAAAAGATGGATTACAGAGTAATAGTAATTATCAAATGATACAGCATAACATTGATTTTCCTCAATACCAAGCCCCAGAAAAGTAATTCTCTCAAGGTCTCATAGGTAGTAAGAGGCAGAGCCATGATTTGATGTTGGGATCTGTGGCTCTAAACATAGTTCTCTTCCCACTGTACCTCTTAGCATGGGTATGTGATTGGAAGTAGCTGAAGCACTGCCCTGGGAAGGGGGGGGACAGAGACCTTGGGGCACTGGCACTGGGAGGGTGCTGGTGTAGGTGGAAGGGACAGGAATGAGGATGTACCTGGAATTAGGAGCTCATCTCAGCCTGGCATCTGGTAGCTTCCTCATTTAGCAGAAAAGTCTTTTTAACTAGGTGCTAAACTCACATACTCACATAGAAATCACATCACTTAAAAATCAGAAGAGATCTCAGAAGTCACCAAGTCAGACTAAAAAGGAATCCCCCACTTCACATATATCTGACAAGTGGCCATTCAATCTTTTTGAAGACCTCTGAAAATTAGAAGTAATCACTTAACAAGCATTCATTAAGTACCTCCTCAGGGCAGGTCCTACTTGGAGTCTGAAAAACTCATTTAAAGGAGTTCAAATCTGGTCTTAGACACTTACTAGTTCTGTAATCCTAAGCAATGCATTTAATCCTCTTTGCCTCAGTTCCCAGTCTAATGAGCTGGAGAAGGAACTGGCAAAGCACTCCAGTATCTTTGCCAAGAAAACCCCCAAAAAGTGGGACTTGACTCAACAACAAAATGCTTCTATTAATGCAGCCCAAGATCACATCACCTCTTTTGGTTCTCCTATCACAGGACTTCTATTGAATGACCAATAAAACTTCCATCTTTTTCAGAGAAACTGTTTTATAAACATACCTCCCCATCCTAAACTGCTGAATAGAGAGTCAGTGCCCTCTCAATTGAATGTCCTTTAAATTCAGTACACTGAGGCAAAACCCTAGTTGTCTCCCTCCCCAATAATGACCATGTACAAAGTACTTCGCTCACAACTACATGAGATTGGTGGTATAAGTATTATTATCTTCATCTTATGCATGAGGAAACCAAGATGTTCAGAGATTTAAATGTCCTGCCCAAGTGCACACAGCTGTGCTGTATCTCACCTGGAATTGGACCCCATTTCTCCTGATTTCAAGTCCAGCACTCTACTATACAACATGACCTCAAGTCCAAAGCTCTCCCCACATACAAGCTGGTACAGTGCCAAGAGGGCTGCATTCAGATTTAGGAAACACCTGGGTATGAACTCTAGTACTTAATAGTTGCATGACCATGTGCAAATCACTAAATTTCTCTGACACTCAAGTTTCCTATCTCTCAGTTGCAATGTTTGGGTACTAGACCTGTGGTTTCATTGCTTTGGAAAGGGAATTCCCACTGCAATGCAGAATGATGGCGGCTGTTCTGCAGGCCATAGTATGAGAGTTGCCTGTGGGCACTGGCAGGCTAAGGGAGTTGCCCAGTGTCATCCACACAGTGTGGGGATAAAAACTGTCCAACCCATAATAAGAGAGACTGAGGCAGAGCTCTGAGCCAATGGCACTTTTTCTCTCCCTCTTTTTTTTTTTTTTGGTGAGGCAATCGGGGTTAAGTGATTTACCCAGAGTTACACAGTTAGTGTCAAGTGTCTGAGGTCAGATTTGAACTAAGGTCCTCCTGACTGCAGGGCTGGAGCTCTATCCACTGCACCACCTAACTGCTCCCCAATGGCACTTTATTAAAGGATCCCTGGTCCCTTCTAATGAAGTGGTGGACCCCAGATCTTCCTCACAATCTGAGAGGCTTCCTCCCTCCTGGACCCTATTTTTATAGGGCTAGATATCTAGACATTCAAGAATAGCTAATACTAAATATAGAATAATTCCATTGATTGACATACAATGGATAGATGAAAAAAAGGAAAAAATATATCAGCAAGGTCACAGGTTGGGCAAAGCATGGAGCATTTCCACTGACTAGATGGTTACAAGATGGTCACCTGCTCAAAACAAGGAATATCTCCACTAAGTGGTCATAAGATGGTCACCTGCTCAAGTTGGACAAGAGAGAATGGTCAGGAGGCACAAAAATAAAATTGGGGGACTTTTCATGTCCCCCACACTGGGTTTGGTCACCATGACAAGGAAAAACAAGGGTGGAGGGTCTCTAAACACTGATCGAGTGAATTTACAAATATACAGAACTTATAATCACTACCCCTAACAGAATCACATCAAATTGATCAATACTTATTGGAATACAGTAGGGGTCCTCAATGAAGCAGCTTTCTCAACAGTATCTGATAGAAGTCAAGAGTTTGAACCCAGGTCTTCCTGAATTGAGGCCATCTGGCTGCTATTCATTGCCCCATTCTGCCTCTCATCTGTAAACTAGGATTAATAATGCCTTTTAGCACCTACCTCACATGGGGTGCTATAAGGACCAAATGAGATCACAAAAAATACAGAATCACAAATGAGACCAATAAGGATGAATTTATTATCTGATATTTAGCAAATGTGATTTTTTTTAAAAAAAGCTTTTTATTAACAAGGAAATCTAGAAGACCTAGAGTAACAAGGCAAATTTGACGTCGTTGATCATTCAGAATTGGGCCATTCAAATCCATGAATGGAATATTGTTCTGGATTGATATGGCTTATTTAAGAAACACAGAGGTAAAAGGGGGCCAGGGGTAGAATATCTTCATTTGAAGAATTCAAGAACCAGAGAAGAGAAGCATGGACAAGATTGAGAAACAGATGTAATTTCCCTTTAGAGTATACCACAGACCACCTAAACGGAAAGAAGAAATAGATGAGGAATTCAGGAAATTGTAAGCCTGACCAGAGGCATGACATAATCAGTGGGGGATTGTAATCACCCAGATATCTGCTGGAGCTTTAACTCTCTATGCCAAAAGCTGAATAGCAAATGATTTGTCATGAATGCATAAAACAGACTGGATCCATTAAAGATCAGAGTATAATAAAACACTTGGGAATGATCCTCTTCAGCTTGTAGTATGGAAGCTGAATCTCAAATTAGTGAGCATTGACTCTTTCTTTCATCAAGCAGGTGATGCTTATCTTCTGCCAGAGGAAGTCTGGAAATCAAAAGACCACAGCCAGGGAGCCTGGGGATGGGTTGAAAATTCCTCCATAGAGAAATGCTCAGAGAAATGAATAGCAGCAAGCACAAAGATGAGCGTTGACCGGACAGATAGTCATGGGACCAACTTTTGTTCCTGGAAGTGGGGGTCCTGGAGAAAAGATGGGTGTGACAAGCTCCGTGAATAAAATAGGGTCGAATCTATAAATGAGGGAGCGTTTGACAACATTGTAAAAGAGGAGAGTGCCAGTGGTATGCTCCAGGTACACCCCGACCCTTGGCACAGGGTCCTTTATTTGATAGTTTAATTGTCCAGGACAGGTTTGGAAATAGTAATTATTTTCCTTCTTCACGCAGCAAAGCAGGAACACAGAGGCAAAGGAGTCTAGGTTACTTCCTCCCCTCAAGTGTTCTGTACGGATCCCCAGTCCCCACTGAGGTACTTGTGTCACATCCACCTCCCAATATTGTCTGCCTGAGCTGAAGGCCTGCTCAGCAGAGACAAAATGACAAGCAAAGTTCTCAGGATGGTCAGGATCCATCTCCCAGCCTTCTCCAGCCCTCATACTCTTCAGATCCTCAGAAACAATCACATAGGAACTGGCTGATTGAGGATTCACTCTGATGTCCACTCTGAATTTGTTGAGGATATCTATCATCCCAGTAATGGGGTGCTCCATCAGGTCTGGAATGACAGCCTTGGGACTTTGGGAGAACACTGACTCACTCCTTCCCAACAGCTCCCTGAAATCCTTCAGCAGCTCAATAATGGGTTTGTGTCTTGATTCTTGCAAGTCGGACATGATTTCCCAAAGGTTGTGTATATGCTGAGATAATCTATCCTTACTGGTCCTTTGCTCTTCCTTCAGCCTTTCCAGACATTGAAGTTCTTCCTCCATCAGGAAGTGGTGCAAGTTGTAATATTCTCCCATAATCATCCGATTCCAGTCAACTAAAGGTCTCGCCATCTCCTTCTTGACCTGAGAAAGAAGTTTCTTGGCTTCCTCAAAATCCTTCCCCACACGATTCAGAATCCCCTGGAGCTTCCTCCTGTAGTTGTGAGCAGCTTCTGCCACAGGAGAGAGTGTGTGAGCCTTGTGCTCTGGAGTCTGGCTACAGAGGACACAGAGTGCCATCTGGTCCTCCTCACAAAAGAGCTTGAGGACTTTCTGGTGAATGGGACATTTGCTCTGTTCTTCAGTACTCTGCACAAAGTGGGAGCTGAGCTGCCTCACCTTGTCACTCAACTTTTCCAGTGCCACATTGAGTTCTGGGAGCTTTCTGGTACGGCAAACTTGCCTGCATTCAGGACAAGAGAAAGGTGAGGTTCCACCTCTCCAGCTCCAGGAGAGACATTCTCTGCAAAAGCTGTGCCCACATTCAGTGGTAACTGGCTGAGAAAAGTAGATCCTGCAGATTCCACACATGGTTTCACTCTGCATTTTCAGGACTAGTTCCATAGCAGCAGCCATTTCTTCTCTCTGAAAAGGTAACCAATGTTTCATTCCCTCACTTCACACCCCTGGAACTTTCCCTTCCCTCTGTGGATGTGGAATTCAACTCTCCAAGTTAAAGTCAAATGCCCTAGGAGGACTCTTACCTCTTTCCTGTAGCAACTGAGATTGAAGAGAATTCAGTTCCACTCGAAGAAATGTTTCTGATCAGGATGATCCTCCTCTTTTATAGAATGGAGCCCCACCTCTGTAGCACCTCCCTGATGAGATGAGGATTCGCCTTGCCTCAATGCTCAGATTCAACGAGTTAATGCTTCTGGTTGGTTGACTTCTGTGGATGGACAGCTTTCACAATGCTGAGCCCCTCTGAGGTTTTGCACTTTTCAGGAGTAGTCCCAGCCTTGCTTGAAATAGGATGCCTTTCTTTTCACCTTTCATTACAAAAGGTTGACAGCATATTGAATAGAGAAGTGCACTTGGAGTCAGGACACAGTGATTTCTGCCTCTGAAGCTTCCTGGCTTTGCAATCCTCTTCCTTATTTCCCACCCAGCTCCACTCCATTGGGATTTATCTGACTGACTTTTCCACTCAGCCCTCCAGCTAGAACCAGTCTCTCCTGGTTCTCCTCCTACCTATCTGCACCCCCTCCTGCTCAGTCTCCCTTTATGAATTGTCATCCAAATCATGCCTTCTAATGGTAAGTGTCCTTCAGGTATCAGGATGATTTCTTGACTTAATGATAATTTCATCCTGCAAAGCATGAAGGATTTTAAAAAGGGAAATTCTATTGTAGATCTGATTCTCAATAACAGGAAGGAACTGGTTAATGGATTGGAAAGACTTGAAACTTGGGGACTAGTGACCACTGCCTCTTAGAGTTAGTGACAAGAATGGATGCCTGGGCACTTGGACATGCACCTTAGATTTCAGAAGATCAGACTTCAATGTATTTGGAGAAAAGATTCCATTGGGGAAGTTAGCCCAAAAGGGATGGTAAATTCATAAGAATGAAATTCTGAGGACACAAAGGGAAATTCCAATGAGGAGAAAAGGGGAAGAATTATCTGAAAACACAGAAGTGTATGTACAGGAAACTCAACACTTTCCAGATAGCTGTACTCCTGGATTTCACCAGAATCTCATCAGCCTGAAAGATCACATCAACCCATAAAGTCCCACCTCTTCGATATCCCACTGTTTCTAAGGCCCCTCTCAGCTTCCCTCTACTTGGAGAAGGTGGAGGGTAGAGGGTGGAGAGCTCCTCCCAAATCCTCCATTTAAGAGAGATGCTCAGGGCAGTCATCTCATAGTTTCCCACAATTTCCCATCTGAATACATTCCTCTGGACTTTATCATAGGGTTCCTTTGATGTCCCCACTTTTCAGTTTCTTTTTATGTGTTATTTTCCCCCACTAGATTGTGAGCTCCTTGAGGGCAGGAACTTTCTTTTACCTTTCTTTTATACTCAGTACTGAGCACAGTACTTGACTTGGAGGAGGGCTTAATAAATTTGTATTGACTGACTGACAGCCTAATTAGACTTTTCTGCACAGACTTTTTCTGTATAGACTTTTCTATGTACAGAAGAGGGAAACAAATTTGGGTAATAGAAGAAGAAATGGAAAGTTAGCCAATGACCCCCTAGGAACAGTGTTAAGACTTTCTTTGGATGCAGATAGTCTTTCCTCCTATGTCCTTTGTAATTAATTTGGGCATTTAAAATAGTCAGAATTACTTAATTACTCAAAGTTGTTCTTAAAACAATATTGCTGTTACTATCTACAATATTCTTGTGATTCTGCTCTATCCATGTTTTTCTAATATCAATGAGCCCATCATTTCTTATAGCACAATTGCGATGGAGTGATGAGACCAGGACCCCTAAAAGGAAAAGATTATGCCTTTGAAAGCAACCCAGTCCCTCAATTTTCCCAAACATTTCAGCAGCCCAGATTACTGGAGCCTCTGCCCAAGGCAATTGGCCAACCCCAACCCACCTAGATCACCTAATTAGCTCACTTGACTTTCTTTTCACTGTCACTCTTGGCCCACCCCAGACTACTTGCATACACCCACTCTTTAATCCCATCTAGATTACCTAATTAGCCTACTTGAGAGCCTACTTTCACTGATGTACCTGCCCCCCCCCCGACTATTTGCCACTCCTTAATCCCATCCAGATCCTTTCACAGTCTCACCCCCATTAAATTGAAGGTTCACTAAGAACCTTGCCTGCTCCTTTTGTCCTTACAAAAAACTTTGCCACTGACTAGAAGATAGTTTGAGTGCCTGAATTCATTCCAGGTAGACACCACCTTGTACCTTGACATTTTGGGGTTCCCAGCAACCCTAAACCACATCAATAGTATTCCATCACAATCATATATCACAACTTATTCAACCATTCCACAATTGATGAGCATTCCCTCAATTTCCAATTTTTTGCCACCACAAAAAGAGCTGCTATAAACATTTTTCTGTATGTAGGTCCTTTTCCCTTTTTCATGATCTCTTTGGAATATAGACTTAATAGTGGTATTGTTGGATCAAAGGGCAAAGCTCTTTAGGCATAGTTCCAAATTATTCTCCAGAAAGGTTGGACTAGCTCACAACTCTACCAGCAGTGCATTAGTGTCCCAATTTTTCCACATCCCCTCCAGCATTTGCCATTTTCCTTTTCTGTCGTGTTAGCCAATCTGGTAGCACACAACTCTATAAAAGGTTAGATTTCTCAGGGGTCATTTCTTTGGCCAATCTATTATTACTCATGAATTGGGCCAATTTGTAGCCCAGTGGCTATTTTGCTTACTAGTCTCAGGGCATGGACATATTTTGAATGTACACCTAGATCTGGTAAGGGTTTTAGAAATCATCATGTCCAACACTTCCATCTTATAGATAAGATTACTGTAGAGAGTAAAAATGACACTGAAGCATAGGGCAAAATATCATTTTATTAACAGTGATACATACACTGTTAGTAAAACACATCTCAGCAAGAAGCCAGGGGCCTACACATGATCAATTTATTAGTTAGGGTTGCAGTAACCAATAAATTAGGTCAATGGTCTCTCTTTAGATGACCAAAGACCTGGAGTGAGGGCCTCCAGGGTCTTCTAAACCTAAATGTATCTTCTTTCTGATTGGCCCATCTGATTGGTACATCATTTGGACCTCCCCTGGCAAAGACAAGTCAATCTTGATTGACTGACATTTTGATGAGGTAGATGAGAGTTACCTCAGTTCCTCCCAGTTACTTCAAGGTTGGGAGGTGGGAGTGAACCTCAGATTATAGGATTAATCTGCAGGGGGGATGGCAACTGGGTTGACCTTCAAGTGTGGTTGATCATGATCCTCTTGGGCAATTAAGGAATGCTAATTGCTTTTTGAGACCCAGATACCTCTAGTATATCTTGACTAGAAAAAACACCTCAATCAAATTTCCCTACTCTACCCTCCACCACCCCCCTCCCCTCCCCTTGACCTCCTCCTTGGAGACCAAGTCACCCCTGACTTTGAAAAGGAGAAGCCAAAATACTAGAGTGGTCCCCTGGGGAGGGCCTAGCCCAAGCTGGTTCTCTGTTTATAGGTAAATAGAATAGGGAGTCCCACTTTCAAGGGGTTAAAGAGCAGATGCCCCAGGGGCTAGGAGTGATCCTATTCCTTAACCACACCTTAGTTTGGACCAAGAGAGGTCTCTTTGAACTAGACTGAGAGAGGGGTTCTGACAAAATGGGGGAAAAGATGGATTACAGAGTAATAGTAATTATCAAATGATACAGCATAACATTAATTTTCCTCAATATCAAGGCTCAGAAAAGTGATTCTCCCAAGGTCTCACAGGTAGTAAGTGGCAGAGCCATGATTTGATGTTGGGATCTGTGGCTCTAAACATAGTTCTCTTCCCACTGTACCTCTTAGCATGGGTATGTGACTGGAAGTAGCTGAAGCACTGCCCTGGGAAGGGGGGGACAGAGACCTTGGGGCACTGGCACTAGGAGGGTGCTGGTGTAGGTGGAAGGGACAGGAATGAGGATGTACCTGGAATTAGGAGCTCATCTCAGCCTGTCATCTGGTAGCTTCCTCATTTAGCAGAAAAGTCTTTTTTAACTAGGTGCTAAACTCACATACTCATCTACAAATCACATTCAAGTCAAGTCAGACTAAAAAGGCATCCCCACTTAGCACATATCTATCTGACAAATGGCCATTCAATCTCTTTGAAGACCTCTGAAGATGGAGAGTCCACTACCTTTAGAGGCAATCACTTAAACCTCAATTAAGGATCCTGAGCCTCAGTGAGATAGAGCAGGCAAAAACCAGCACCAGGACCCCCTATGAGCTGATGGGGTTTTGGACCTCTTTTGCCATTTGGCTTAGGCTATTTTTTAAGGTGTTGTTTCTTCAGTATTTGGGGGGGGGGTCTCCTTTACCAAGCTGTTGATTTGTTTTTCATGATTTTCTTGCATTACTCTCATTTGTCTTCCCAGTTTGTCCTCTACTTCTCTTACTTGCTTCTCAAAATCCTTTTTGAGTTCTTCCATGGCCTGGGACTGATTCATATTTTTCTTAGAGGCTTTGGATGTAGGAGCTTTGACTATGTTGTCTTCTTCTGGTCACATGTTTGATCTTTTTTGTCACCAAAGAAAGATTCTATGGTCTGACTTTCTTTCGGAGTTTGCTCATGTTCCCAGCCAATTACCTGAGTTTTAAACTCTTTGGTAAGGTAGGGGTCTGCTTCCAGTGCAGAGAATGGACTGTCCCAAGCTTCAGGGGTTTTGTGCAGCTGTTTTCAGAGAGACTTCTAGGGACTTGTAAATTTTCCATTCTTCCAAGGTGGTACTCACATGCTGATGGGGATGGGATCTGAATCCCTAAAGGGAAAAGACCATGTCCTTGGCATTTGGACTCCAAAAAGGAAATTCACCTGAGGCTATAATTCTATCAACTGGCCTTTCATTGTGGCTACACACAATCTCCCAATTCTGTTCTGTTACCTCCCAATTGGCCCTGGACA